TTAATGTATGAAACTATTCCTGAAGCTTTTATAACATGTGTTCAAGAAGCAGTAACTGAGTCTGAACCACCATATTCTACTAGTTACTAAAATAAGTGAATAGCATATTGTAATCTGAAGTTACTGAAGTAATAATAATGCTAAGCTGAATTTGTTTTGTGCTAGGCTCTGATCTAAGTACTTGATCTATATTAACTCACTAAGGAAAAAAAAGACGACAACAAAAGGTAATCTGAATACCTTGAAACCAGTAAAGCATACAGGGGGAGGTAATGTTGAATATTAAATTGCAATGGGCATTACAACTTTGGCAATACTCAGTAACAAACCACAATTATAATAAAATGATAAAATGATTAATGGGAATAAACCACATTATGTGTAAAGTAATAACTTTGCCTCAAAAACTGTGAACATTTTCAACCCAATAAAGAAATATCAGTAAAGACTATCAAGAAATCTGCAGCATTTAACACATACATGTGTTTTCTCTGAGAATATAAGCAAACGAATGTGGATACTAATTCCTTCACAAACTATGATTTTCAGCACTGGACCTTTAAAGTAAGGGTTTATTTACAATACATTTGTCAAACAGGTTAAGGAATGAAAAATTATCCCTCAGTTTGTATGACAGATATCAGACTAATGGACTAAAGAAAACAAGAACTCAACTGCAGCTTTTTTCTTTAAATCCTTGGTAGTGCCACTTGACAGAGGTTCTTATGCTCTGATCATTACACGTTTAGAGAAGGTTACAAAACAAGACTTCTATAAGAATTTAAATGGATTCTTTAAATTTACTAGAAAACAGCCATAAATTTACCATAGTACTGGTTTTCAAGCCGGTAGCAAAGCATAAGATATAGGAATTTGTTCTATTTTAAATTTGGAGAGGATGATTCAATGAAGCAATGACTGGCCTATTCCCAAGGCACGCACATAGACAGGGTATGTGGCAGAAAGATCAGGTTAAATATTACACAAATGCCACTCCTCCCTCAAATATAATCACAGACTCTAACCCTTTTCAGCATGAAAACAGACTCTAGAAGGTTAAAGATAGAGAATGATTAGAGACAAGGAAACTGAGCTCTAGAGAAGCTGTCAAAAAACTATTCAGGAAAGACAGAACTTCATCCCACTCCCAACCTGTAGTTTAAAAACCAGAAGTTTCACCACAAAACAATTTAAGAAAAGAAATTTGCTTGCTTCTTTTTTCTTTTCTTCTACCAGTGCACAAGTATTTATTAGGCAGGAGCTCACATGCTATTGCCAGTTAACTCTTTTTTACAGCCCTTGAAAAAAACTTAAGACTTTTTTGTTTTTTCAAGACATTGTTACTCTGTTGCCCAGGTTGGAGTACAGTGGTGTGATCTGGGCTCACTGCAACCAGTTCACTGCAACCTCTCAGGTCAAGCAATTTCTGGCTAATTTTTGTTTTTGTTTTTGTTTTTTTTAGTAGACACAGGGTTTCACCATGTTAGCCAGGCTGGTCTCGAACTCCTGACCTCAAGTGATCCGTCCGCCTCAGCCTCCTAAAGTGGTAGAATTACAGGCATGAGCTGCTGTGCCTGGCTGAGATTTTTACATTTTTTTAATTCCTGGAAACATAATTCAAAACAATAATACTTCATGACACATGACCATCACATGATATTCAAATTTCAGTGTCCATAATAAAGTTGTATTGAAGCACAGTGACACTCCTGTGTTTACATACTATCTATGGCCGCTTTCACACTCACAGCAAAGCTTACTAGTTGTGACAGAGACCGTATGTCCCATAAAGCATTTACAAAAGTCTGTCCTTTACAAAATGTTTGCAGACCTCTGCTCTCTTTTCCTATCCAGTGAAAACCTGTATGATGAATATAGTAATGTGAAGAGTTAAGTGGGAAAAATTAAAGTATGTGTCTGTTTTATCCCTTCAATTCACAGCAAATAAGGGAAGTTTGTCAGAGCACCATAGAGAAGAGTTAAGTAGTCAGATTTCACATCATTATAAGAATGCTGTGAACACAAAAACTTCCAAATTTAGGCCTGCAAATCCTCAAGAACTGAAAATCCCACTGACATATGCTTTCCCCAACTCTACACGGTGGAAGCAAACACAAAGCATAGGGTATTGATATCTCCCAGCTGGAGACAAATTACATGGTTCTCAGGCTTCTTATAGCATCCTTACCAATCAGAGCCCAGGTTTCTTAAGTCAAGGAGGAATTGCCCTGTTGTATAAAGTCCTAGATTAGAAATCAAACCTCAAACTCTTCCAGTGGCCTTTGCCCTCTAGCTAGTCATGTGACTCTCCAAGGGTCTATTCTTTTATCTGTAAAATGAGGTATGCTGACCAACCAGAGGAATATTCACTCTCTCAACTCTTAAAACTAGAGAAAAAGGAGAGGAGGAAAGGGACTTTTCTTTAAGTCATGTTTTGTTTTCTTCATTATAGTAGACAAGATACCATTAGAATAGAGACAACCCCCATCAGAAAGCAAAGGGTCTAGAGCCAAGTACCAGTCTGGATTCAATGACTTGAATCACTACAATATTAAAATGGAGTACTAAGAAACAGAGGTATTTGAATTCAAGGATGTGAGTTTTTTCCTTCCTTTTCTAAGGGGCTTCTGGAAACAAAGACACATCTACCCATGCAGGGTGTGTTCTCTTTTCTTCTCACAGGGTTAAAAGCAACATTTGTCTGAATAATGCCTGCTTTACAAGTAGCCACCCAGGCATTAGTCATGAATGTTATGTGTAATAAGGGCGGGTTAGAACAGTCAGCACCTTCATATCACAGTACTCCAATACAACAAGGGCACAAGTATAGGGCACTGTTTCTCTCAACAAATTTGTTTTAAAAGTTAACAGTCGGCCAGGTGCAGTGGCTCACGTCTGTACTTCCAGCACTTTGGGAGGCCAAGGCAGGTGGATCACTTGAAATAACAAGTTTGAGACCAGCCTGGCCAACATGGCAAAACCCTATCTCTACGAAAAATACAAAAAATTAGCCGGGCATGGTGACGAGTCCCTGTAATCCCAGCTACTCGGGAGGCTAAGACAGGAGAATTGCTTCAACCCAGGTGGTGGAGGTCACAATGAGCCAAGATCCTGGCACTGTACTCCAGCCTGGGTGACAGAGTGAGACTTCAGCTCAAAAAATAAATAAATAAATAAATAAATAATAAAATAAAATAAAATAAAATAAAATAAAGTTAATAGCTTTAAACAAAGAAAAATAATCTCAAGACCTTGAAGAAAAATATTTTTAAAACCAAATGAATGGAAATTACCACATGACCCAGCAACTCCACGAGGTGTATAAAAACATATGTCCACATAATTTTGTACACAAATGTACATAACAGTGTTATTCACGGTAGCCAGAAAGTGGAAACAATCCAAATACACACATAAAATAATGTGCTATATCTATACAACGGAACAGTGTTTGACAATAAAAAGAAATGAAATACTGATCAATGCCACAACATGGATGAAACTTGAAAATATTATGCTAAGTGAAAGAAGCCAGTCACAAAAGATCACATACTGTGTTATACCATTTATATGAAGTTCTGGAATGGGCAATTTACGTACTATCTATAGCCACTTTCACACTCTCACAGCAAATCTCTCTATGGATTCATAGAGAGCAAATGCAGATGAATGAGCTGGGGGAGGGAAGAGTGAAGGAGAGGTACACTGCTAATCGGTCTGGGGTTTCTTTTTGGAGTGACAATGTTCTGAAATTAGAGCCTCAGTGGCGATGGTTGCAAAACTCTGTAAATCTATTTAAAACCAGTGACCTATGCACTTCATTTGATTGGGTGGATTTTATGGTATGTGAATCATATTTTTTTTTAAGCTATTCTGAAAAAAAAAACCCATATTGATTGAACCTTTTTTTCTTGTTTTTTTTGAGACGGAGTCTTGCTCTGTTGCCCAGGCTAGAATGCTATGGCACGATCTTGGCTCACTGCAACCTCTGCCTCCCAGGTTCAAATGATTCTCATGCCTCAGCCTTCCAAGTAGCTGGGATTACAGGCGCCTGTAACCACGCCCAGCTAATTTTTTTGTAATTTTAGTAGAAATGGGGTTTCACTATGTTGGTCAGGCTAGTCTTGAACTCCCAACCTCAGGTAATCCACCTGCCTCGGCCTCCCAAAGTGCTGGGATTACATGTGTGAGCCACTGCGTCTGGCCTACTGAACATCTTTTTTTCATTGCTGAAAATGATATGCTTCATAAGTTAGACAGTTACTATTGAGCTATAAAGTAAAAATCTCATTTTGGCTATCAGTTTTTATATAAAGAAAGAAGAGTCAGGTTTAAGAAGGGTTTATAGGCTGGGCGCCGTGACTCACACCTGTAATCCCAGCACTTTGGCAGGCTGAGGCGGATGAATCACTTGAGGCCAGTTCAAAAATGGCCTGGCCAATATGGCAAAACCCCATCTCCACAAACAGTACAAAAATTAGTCAATCATGGTGGCACATGCCTGTAATTTCAGCTACTCACGAGGTGAAGGCAGGAGAATCGCTTTCACCCAGGAGGCAGAGGTTGCAGTGAGCTGAAATTGTGCCACTGCACTCTAGCCTGGGTGACAAGAGCAAAACTCCATCTCAAAAAAAAGAGGGAGAAAAGGAAAGAAATAAAGAAAAGGTTTATAGATCCCCTTTTGTGGTAACTCCGATTTTGTGACAATTTAAGCTTACTGACAAATTTTAAAGTCTCGTGCTCATGGGGAAAATGTTTTTCAGCATAATCTGCAAGAAAACATGTAACAAGCCCATTCCAAAACTTCGCTGTCTGGTATATACCATTTATGAAAGCTTAACTGCAGCAACATATACACATTTATATAACAGCACAAGAGAGAAGGGGGAAAACACTATTTTGCCCACTTACCCTCAAAAAAAAGACAAAGCCATAAATAAGACATAGCAGAACAGGATAAACACATTTTGTGCTCATATAGACTTACTGATGCCACTTACCGCCTGGGTCATTGGGCCTTGCTTCATCTTCAGTGTAGCAGCTATGCTCCCTACAGCCACTTCTTCAGAAACTGAACTTGCTCTAAAATCCACTTCATCTTCAGCTTTCACGTCCGGCATTTCTGAAAGAGCAGGGAGATTACAGAGTACATTTTTAAAAACTGATTTCTGTGCCTTACTATTTATACAACATGCTCCAGGTTTCATGTGTTTTGTTTTTGCTTTTGTGTTACAGCAGAAAAGTATTCTTTTGCTGTCAGCGGCTAGTGTCATTTCTGACCCTATGCTGAGCTATTCCTTTATCACACGGTTATTGGTTTTTCCTAGCCTTTGTAGGGGCTTAGAACTAAGTGAGGATCCAATTCAATGTCTTTTGAACATCCATTTCACTATTAACTTTTTATGACAAATCCGAGTGTAGCACCAACTTGCATGTGGAAAACTAAATTCATAAGCTTCAGGGGGAACAGATTAATAGCTGAAGCTAGGTAGTCCATCTCGGCCATCATCAAAAAAGCAAGAAGGATTTGTACAAAACAAAAAGGAAAAAGCCACTGAGAATGAGACAAAGCCTCTGGGACAAGTCTGACTTTCACTACCATACAACACACTCTGACCCACCCATCACTGTAACCAGTAAGAACGAACTACTCAGCAGTTACTTCTTGTTTTTAATCCTTATTTCTTCCAAAACTGAAACCTAATCACAGACTAAGCTATCCCTTTCTTAAGAGAAACACTTCTGTGCATGTTTTCTCGAGAATTATGTAGTTGTCCTCTTGCTGGCCATGCTCAACAGACCAAAAACAGTGGTGGTTTTTGTTACTTGACCACCACATGGTCAAGCAAATACAGGAAGGAAGTGATAAATGATGTCTGAGGCAAATTTAGGCTTCTGACACTTCTTTAAAGGGGACTGATGACTGAACAGTTAAAATTCACCTTAATAATCCAAATGCAAATGGAACTGTCATCTCGATTTCATGTGGAAATGTATCTGTGGTTATTAACCTAGTGATGCCTCTACTCTGGCTAGAAAAATGCTCCCCATACTAAAGATCATAGAAGTTTCTTTCACCAAAGAATAAATTATATTTTTATTCTAGGAGCACATGATACATACGAAAGTCTACCTTAAATTTGTAAGAGTTACATTTCTATAGATGAACCTCTTTTCTTCTTTCTTTGCCCTTATAATTATATAATCTTTTTTTTTTTGAGACGGAGTCTCGCTCTGTCGCCCAGGCTGGAGTGCAGTTGTGCCATCTCAGCTCACTGCAAGTTCCGCCTCCCGGGTTCACGCCATTCTGCTGCCTCAGCCTCCCGAGTAGCTGGGACTACAGGCGCCCGTCACCTCACCCGGCTAATTTTTGTATTTTTAGTAGAGACGGGGTTTCACCGTGTTAGCCAGGATGGTCTCGATCTCCTGACCTTGTGATCCACCCGTCTCGGCCTCCCAAAGTGCTGGGATTACAGGTGTGAGCCACGGTGCCCAGTCAATAATTATATAATCTTACCAGCAGTTTAAAAATAGGTAAACCAGTTTCCTTGCCCAAAGAACCAAAATCTGTGTTAAATTTCATAAAATGTTATTAAAGTTAAAATCTAAGCAATCCCCTCAGAACTATCCCTTGATCAAAACATCTCTAAGTGAGTCAGAGTAATTTCTGGGGGGAAAGAGGGTTGCTTTCCTCTGGGGATGTGATTTTTGGTACCTCCTTCCTTTCCTATATCTATCAACTTTGAAAAGATGCATCTTGGCACAGCAACCAGTCACACTAGTAAACAGTGATTACTGACACCTGAGGGGTGTCAGTAGCCTCTGCAGGACTGGCGTGGCTCAGTCATGCACCACTGATTTCCTAAGCACTGTGGGCAATGCTTCTGGTGGGTCAAGGGCCACATCCCCTTCTTTCAAACTGGCCCCTTCCAAATCAGCAGTTAAACCTATGTCTTCTCACTCATAAAACAGTATGATTAAATCTATGAGTAGAATGTAAACTTGCTAGAAAATACCCTTTGGCTCTGAGATCACACTCAGGTGCTTTTTCTCTAAAGCAATGTGACCAGGGATTTTCCCAATCCTGGCCATTTTCTGAAGAAAGCACCAATTTCTTCATGACTGGCTACTTTCTCTGTAGTCTGAGACCATGAGTACTGAGTTCCTCTGTAGTTTGAGACCATGAGTATGACTCCTTTTGGTAACAGGACAAGTAACTTTTTTTCACAAAATTTACCAACCCCAAGCCCATATATACTGCTGAAAGGTCATACATTTTTTTCTTCCTTCTCAAAACCTCAACATCCTAAACATCCATCATTTCTTACCAACTGTACTATAAGTGCTAATAAAAATCAAAGTCTGAAATTCTCCCTGGTTTTTACTTTTTCTCATAGGATACTACAGACACAATCCCCACAGAGTTCACACTTGCTTGAGTTAAATTCTGACCACTGAGCCAGAAAGAGAAATAATTCTAGCCCATGTGGCCAAGGACGCAGCACCCAAATGAAAAGAACATCGCCAGGCATCAGCTTACAGCCACTCCCATTCTTCTGAAATGCCAACCTGCCAGGGCCCCCAAAATAGACTTGTTGTTGTGGCTTTCTTTTAAAAAAGTAGAGACCTTCTCATTTAAACTCTGAGACAACAGTCAACAAATATTTATCACTAACAATCCAAAACATTAATAAAACTAAAAAGCTAAAGTCATCAAAAATTCTACCTGGGATTCCTTAAATCCCTCAACTGGGGAGGGAAAAGATTATAAATGGCTAAAAGCCCTTTACTAGGGAAAATGACCACTGTATTTAAATTGCGCTTCTTCCAAAGCAACTTCTTTTGCTCCATTGATTCATTTTTCTCCATAACCCTCCCCCACACTCTTAATACATACATGTAAAGGGATTTTCAAAAATTGAACAGCAAAAATAAACAATAAAGACAAAACAGGCTACTTCTTACCTACAAAAGCCTAGGGGCAAGCATGGAGATGGGTATTCCGTCTACAGCTGGTAACAGGTGGTGGTATAAAAGTGTGCATCAAACTGACCTTTAAAGACTTCAAGAGTCAAGATTGTGTCCGACTCCCGTTTCAGCTTCAGCCTCAACCCCGGATAAGAAGTTTTATTCAGATAGTTTATTTCCACCGAGCAATAGCGGTTTCTCTTTGCTGTCTCGGAACATGATTACCCACAGATGGAACAGGCTGCTGTGTGAGCAATCTGCTCAGTGCAGCTGCTTCACCAAGATAAAGCAGACACAAGGTCTGCCCTGTGACAGCAGCTCAGCAGACTGGGCTTGGGCGGAAATCCTGCATCCTATCCCCTGCACTGTGCAGGGTCTTGAATTCCCAGACTGCTGCCCAAAAGCAACAGGCAAAGGAACTAGAGGTCCGTTCCCCAAGCAGGAAAAGGAAGGAGTTCCCTGTCAACAACACCCCTAGCTCAAAAAAAATAATAAAATAAAAGCACACAAAAAAACCAATGACCTAATACCACCATTCTGGGTGTTGAGATGTCAGGTTAGAACAATACTTATAGCTGTTCATGAAATCACTCTGACTCTAAATTTGCTCAGAATACAGACTAGGATGACAGGGGAGGAAGGGAGTTTCAGGCTTGTAAATAGAACACAGCTTTTTGGCACTGTTTTCTATGGTACCAGAGAAAAGGATTAAGCCATGTGAATAAAAACATCTGCTAAATTCCTTCATCATTTTGGAATACCTGTGATCTAGGCATTGTTTTCCAGGTTTGCAAAGTTGCAACCACTCCAGAATGACAGATAAGAGTGTTTATAAGCTTAAGCAACCAAGCAGTTAAGTCTACAACACAGGAAACAAAATCTGTGCAACCCTGAGATGACGTGCCTCTCCTGATGGTGGTGACTATTAACTTGACTACCCACCCAATGAGTGCAAGACCTCAAAACAACAAAGATGCCTATATTTTTACCAGGACACCACAGTGACTCTTAAGGGAATCTGCTGCTCAGACTGCTAATTTTGTATTATGTTTTGCTTACCTGTTGCTGGCTCAGGCCCTTGGACAGGTAAAATAATCTTCTCTGGCTCCTCCCTTTCAGCAAAACATCCTGCAAGGCTCCCTGTGGCTTCCTCAGGAGTACTGCCCATTGGCAGGCTCTCCCCAGGTGGGAAAGTACTCACTTTTTCTGTAAAAGCATTCTCTAGCCCTTCAGTGAGAGGACCCAACTTAGGCCTGGACAGTGACATTTGACAAGCCTCCCCCTCAGTAAGCAGTGCTCCAGCGGCCTTGACTTGTTCGATGACAGCATCCACTATACGGCTGGCAGCCTCCTCTATCAAGTCTGCTCCCTTAGGCAGAGGTGTGGCCTGGGCAGAGACCATGCAAGGTAGAGAGGGAGTGCTCCTTTCCCCGCCTGAGGGCAAGGCTTGCAGGACTTCCCTCGCGCCAGCTGGGGCCTCATCATCATGGGATGAGAGCCCCATGTCTGTGGGGAGCTCTTTGGCAGCAGGCTGCAGTAGGACAGGATGTGCTTCAGTGTCTATCTGGGCTTCCTCAGCATCGCCCCTGGTATAGCTGTGGTCTGCTCCCTCCAGCTTCCCTTTCTCCCAATCAAGAGGTACCATCTCTGGGGTTCCAACTCCCTGTGGGTCAGTCACAGCTTTGTCCCGTAAAGCTACTGGCAAACCCAGGATGACATTCTTCTCTTGGTTCAACAAGACGTCTGGAATCAGGATGTCTTGGGTGTTGTGTGATACATTCTTTCTTCTGGGAACAGCCATCCCTTGTAGAGCATTAACCTGCGTAACATCCACCGTCACATTTCCATTCACCTCACAGGCACTAGTTTTCCCCTGGGATTGGGTGTTCTTTACTCCAACATCCAGAGGAGAAGGTTGACTGCAATTAAGAGCCTCAGACCCATCAGACCCATCTGGCAACAGACATGACAACAAAGTGGAGCTGTTGTGCTCTGGACCCAAGGCTTCCTGCCTTAAGTCTGTGGCCAGACTTGCTCCTGGTGGCACCAGGCTCTGGGCAGCCCCACCTTGAATCAGCAGTGAGACTTGTGGGGCCACTTCCTTGTTATGTTCAGTTTCTGCCTTAAGACAGGCAGAGGGTGCACCCGGTGACTTACTTAGCTGAGGTGCTTTGTCCTTGGCACCATCAACTGAGACCGATTTTTCATGAAATCGTAGAGTCTCTTGTCTGGGAGGTGGTGTTCTCTGCTCTTTCTGCAACATTCCTGAAGAAAGAGCATTTTCCTTAATGGAGGAACAGGTCACTGCTATATCCTTATCTTGTTTCTGAGTTGCAGAGCTTTCTGAAACCACCAGAAGTTTTCCCTCTTCTGTCAAAACTGAATCTAAAGCCAAAGTGGCCTCACCCACACTTTGCAGGGAAGAGTCAGTGTCCCCCTTGATATTCAGAGCTTCTGGGATTGCTGGAGGGGCGGGACCCTCACGCTCTCCACCAAGTCCTGTGAGACTGGTATTCCCCATCTCACGCTGAAGCTCTGCAGCAGTGGAGGACGTGGACAGGTCTGCTGCCCTATCTTCTAGTGGCTGTGTATCAGGCTCATTCGAATCTCCGTCTGGGCCAGCTCTACAATCTGTAGCCATATGTAGTTCAGGAGTTGCTGTTCCCTTTTCTTTCTGGGAGGGGACAAAAGAAAGTGCGTCATCCTTGGTTACTGATTCACTGCCTGGATTGTTTGCCAGAGAGAAAGTACTGTCTGATATTACTGCCTGGTCTGGCACCAGTTCTTTCTCCATTTTAGGGACAACTGGATGCGGATGTGAAACCACCTCAAGCATATTTGTTAAAGGTTTATCTAGTTTCACATCTTTTCGTTGGCCTTTGTTATCCACCACTTTGAAAGGACAAAAATCCACACGTTCCCGGGTATCCCTTACAGGGTCAGAGGTGACTGTATTAGCCTGTGGGTCTTCACAGTGGGTGGCATTGGGTGGATCTTGTGAGCTGGGTTGCCTTGCTGTGGTGCTTTCAGGCTGGCTAACTATGTTATCACACCGTTTTGCAACCAAGTCACCACTAGAAGTCACTGTGTTCTGTTGACATGCAGAGTCTGCACAAAGTTTATCGTCTCCAGTTGTAGAACAAATGGGTGAGGATTTGCCCTTTTGGCTTTGAGCATGAGATGAATTTGTTTCTGAGTTCTGGTGTGGCATTACATCTTCTTCTAGCCCAAGAAGGGCTAAATCTGAGGGTGACATTGCCTCACCTATGACTGCTGCTAAGAGAGTATAAGGTTCTAATCCATCTGAAATCTTGTCTTCTGTAGCAGCTGGAATCACCACAGAATTCTGATCTACTGGAGCATCAGCACTCTCCTCATGACTTTGTGAAGTTTCTGTTTCTGCTGTTTTTTCAATGGAGGTTTCCTCATTACTAAATGCAAGTGAAGACTCAGCAGGTTTGTCACCATCCAGGGAGCTGGCGGCAGGGGCACAGTTTGGAACACTGACTTTATCCACAGGCTTACTTATGACGTGCACGTCAGAGGCTCCAGCTGTGCCAATATTAGAGTTCTCAAATCTTTCCTTTGTACTTTCCCCCACTTCAAGCACATTCTTTTGAACAGTGGCATCTGGATTCATGAGCCCATGTTCCATTTCCCCTGCAGTCTCTGGGGTACTGACATTTGTTGTTGAAATGTCTCCCAGTTCACCTCCAGAGGAATACTGGGCTGTGCCTGGCTCCATGACCAAGTCTCTCTGCAGCACAGCATCTCCACTGCTCAGGGAGTCCTGGTCTGTGGGCATTCTAGATTTTGTTCCAGTTTCTTCACTTCTGTTTCCACAGGACGAAACGCCTTCCATGCCCTTTACTCCACAATCAGGCAACCTCTGAAGGCAGCTGTCTTGATCAGATACAGTTCCAGAGTCCACAATAGGTGCTGGCTCCACCTCTTCCCCTTTTCTTTCCACACCTTTATTTTTCTTCCTACAGGAATGGTCTGTATTCTCCTCCTCAACTATGCTTGACAAATCACAGGGACTTTCAGTCTGTGCAACAGGGATCCCTGGGCAGCAGTGAGTGCTCTCGATCTCTTCAGAAGAAGAAAGTCGCTGAGGGTCCGTGGGCTCTGGTGCACAGGGAAGAAACTGGCCATCTGTCTCTGGGGCACTGGAAGGACCCTGTGCCGTCACCATTAAGGGCATAAGATTGTCCATCTGCTTGAGGTTTGTTTTCTAGGAGGAAATGAAATACAGTTTTAAAAAACTGCTCGTAGGAGAAGATGTCACTGACACCTCTGAGCAAAAATCCTGTTGGACAGAACTCACTTCCATTCTAAGGTCACATGATAAGCTAATCTAAAAGAATACAAATAACTTTCCTCTTATTTCTGATATTACTCTCCTCTCATATCTGCCTATACACTGGGATGTTCAAAATGGATTAGGATATATGAAATATCTATTTTCTAAATTTTGAACTTATTTTAGGAAGTAGATTAAAATTGAGTCTCAAAACTTTATTTTTAAAAAGCTCAGTGAATATCTTCAAATGAGTCACTAACATTAAGGTGGGATCTCCCATTCTGAGGCCAGGCTGGAGTGCAGTGGTGTGATCATAGCTTACTGTAGCCTCGAACTCCTGGGCTCAAGTGACCCTGTGCTTCAGCCTCTTGAGTAGCTAGGACTACAGGTGTGTACCATTGCACCTGGCTAATTGTTTTATTTTTTGTGTGTACCACTGCACCTGGCTAATTGTTTTATTTTTTATAGAGATGGTGTCTCACTATGTTGCCCAGGCTGTTCTCCAACTCCTGAGCCTACAGGATCCTCCTACCTTGGCCTTCAAAGTGCTGGGATTATAGGGCGTGAGTCACTGTGTCCCACCTATATTTTTTATTGTCTTCAGCGGGGCAGAGCCTATTTCCGCCCTGCCTCATATATACAAGTAAAAACAAATCCCAGCTCTTTTCCATTACAAGGTGCAGCCAATGCTCCTGTGCCCTAAATATTTACTGAGGAGTTCAGAGTCCTTTAATCCCCAAAATACGTTCCAACCAATCTAACTTAACCATTGAGTTATGGGTTCATAATTTCAGGAACAGTGGCATGGCAGGTATTCTTTTACCTTTTGATAAAACCAGAACATACTAAATATAAAATAAATGAGAACACACACCTATATACTGTCAGAGTGTGTTATGGATACTATATGTAATCTCAAAAATGGATTTTGCAACTTTAAAGTATTTTAAAAATATAAACAGATACAACCAACAGCATGGGAATGATTAAGAAAATCATGGTTCATAAAACTGATGGAAGAAATACCACCCATTATTAACTATGAGGACCATATTGCAATTAGAAAAAAATTATTAATCTAAGTTTATAAACATGCAAAAATCTCATGTGCATGCAGCAAGGTTTAGGAAAAATGGAGAAAAACAAATACAGGTGATCTTTAGTGAATTTACCTTCATATCAAAATTTCAAAAATTCTTACAAAAATACTATTTTCTCGGCTGGGCGCGGTGGCTCAAGCCTGTAATCCCAGCACTTTGGGAGGCCGAGACGGGCGGATCACGAGGTCAGGAGATCAAGACCATCCTGGCTAACACGGTGAAACCCCGTCTCTACTAAAAAAAATACAAAAAACTAGCCGGGCGAGGTGGCGGGCGCCTGTAGTCCCAGCTACTCGGGAGGCTGAGGCAGGAGAATGGCGTAAACTCGGGCGGCGGAGCTTGCAGAAAAAAAAAAAAAAAAAAAAACACTCCAGCTTGGGCGACAGAGCGAGACTCCGTCTCAAAAAAAAAAAAAAAAAAAAACTATTTTCTCAACCCTTAAAATCTATTTTTCCAAACATCTGGTTTGCTTGCCACTCATTACTTGATCTACTGTAATAATATGCATATCTACTGCCATCCATCCTCTCATTCATTTACTCATTCAGTGAATATATTGGGCACTTACAGGATTCCATCATCAGACCATTCCTATCTTACTGAGCCTATTGTAAAAGTTTATACATACAAGTATAAAATGTGTCATGCTTGTTAAAGTCTTTCTATTAGAGTGTACAAGCAAAATGGACTTTCACTAAAAGTTTCTGTGTTAGGTTCCTTAAGAGTATTCAAAATTGGCTTATTTCCAATCCTGGTGAGAGTACGACAGTCTCCTAAAAATCAGGAAATGAAGTCATTAAATTTAATAAACAGTAAACATTATAAAAGAGAAATCTGGAGAAACAGTAGTGTTGCCTGAAGAAAGTAACACATGTATGTTCCCACAGTTTTAATTTCTCGTATTTGCCTGCCAATTATTCCCATATCTTGGCAGGTAGCTTTGGTACCTGCAAAACTGTATTTTCAAGTGGACTACCATTCACCTAGTAAAAAGAGCTCTAAGGAAAAATCTGATTGCCTAGAAATCCACTCAGAGGAAAATGAAATGTCACCTGCTCTGGAACAAACACAATTCTAAAACACAAAAGTGGGAGCATCACATAACCTTATGGAATTTCTTGGCTTGCTGGTCTCAAATAATGCATGCTCCCAAAGAAGCCTCTGGCATTGAGCTGACCTTAAATGAAATTATTGTCAAGTGGTTTCCAAATCAAATCAGCCCTGAAATAAACTGGGTGGAAAAATTACCTAAACATAGCCTTTCAGATGTTATGGCCAAGAGAGATGTACACGTATGACGTTTATATTATTCGTAATAAATGCTAACAGGTAGTCTGTAATGTTTTTATGTCTGGCAACAACTTTATCTTGAAGACTTGAGTGGATTATAAAATCTTTTCTTTTTTTTAGTGATCTTTGTATCATGCAACTATTGATTTAAATATAGTAATACTATATTCAAATAGTACATATCATCACTCACTAAAATAGTTATAAAAATACTCCTGATTAAATTTGGTTCCTGTTCTTTGGCAACAATCTCAGAAACTGTTTTGCTTCTTTCATTTTGTAAAGTTAAGCCAAACACAGACAAATATCCTTTCATGCTGGGATAATTTAACTCTAGTTGTTGCATATTTCTGTACCTGAAATATGTGTCTTTCATTATTCCCAAAACCAATGAAAAAAACCTCTCAGTCCCCTTACTGCTACAACCTTAATGCTAGCTCTGATCTGTAAGTGGTAACATTTAATACTGCTAACACTGCTTTATAGCTCTCACAATCTTTGGGGAAAGTCTTTCTTTTTCTGTTTTTGAGACAAGGTCTTGCTCTGTCACCCAGGCAGGAGTGCAGTGGTGTCATCTCATCTCACTGCAACCTCTGCCTCCTAGGCTCACTCGATCTGCCTGCCTCAGACCCCCGAGTAGCTGGGACTATAGGCATACACTACCATGCCCAGCTAATTTCTGTAGAGCCAGAGTTTCTCCATGTTGCCCAGGCTAGTCTCAAACTTCTGAGCTCAAGTGATCCACCTGTGTCGGCCTTCCAAAGTGCTGGGATTACAGACATGCGCCACTGTGCCCGGCCAGGAAAGTATTTTTATGTTCTAATTATATCAAGGTTCATTGGAGGAGGGCGGGGACACACATACAAAACATACACATGCACATGCACACACTTAAAAATAAAAGCTTTCTGACTTACCATTAGTTGCTGTTGGATGTTCATAAGTCTAAAAATGTGTCCAGTGCAACTGTCTCCAGGAAATGGGTGTTCATGTGATTCAGACTCAGAGGTTAATGTATAGATGTCCAACTCTCGATGATGCCTCACAGAACAGTCTCCATACGGTATTTCATAGGATAAACTGCTCCAGGAGTCTGGTTCTCCAGCATTCTCCCTACACGCAAGCAATCTCTGGTTAATGCATATATATTCTGCCTCCCAGACATAGGCTTAACCTTCTAGGTCTTACTTCATATTTCCAACCTGATTGTTCTTTGAGGTTCAGCAGCAAAAATTAGTATATATACCTCCCAAATGATTCAGGCATATAACTAATAGCTCCAACCTCCTCACAAGAGATCACAAATGGGTTAAATGAAAACTGCAGGACTCCTAGCCCTAACAATGTTCTTTAGATCAAGATAAAGAGATGTCTGAGATCTAATAATAGTTAATATTATGCTAACAACCAAGAAATGAGGAAGTGCAAGGAAGATGGTTTTAGCCTGATTTTCAACAAAATCAAGGCTTATTAAGAGGTGTTCTTAAAATAAATTAGACCATATGCTAACTACAGTTGATGATAATGGGAAGAGAAGAACCACTCACTCCAACCCTTATAAGGGCACTCCAACTTTTCTAACAACAGGTGCAGAAAACACCCTCAAGATTATTGAAGTCAATTACACAAAGAAAAACTGTTACGATGACATATTGTTCAACACTTGTCAATATAATTATCATCTTATTTGGAATAAAGCACTTGGTTCCAAGAACTTAAACTTCATAGCAAGTTTGCTCAACTCATATCATTATAAACATATATAACAACTTTCCACCATTATATGCCAACTGATTTGAACGAGGCAAGTGGGTTTCTCCTCTAAAGGCTACAGCACCTCCGATTCCACTCTTGCTTCCAGAAGGCATACCCATGCCCGTAATGCCTGCTGTGACACAATACATAATCTGTGCTATGCTTTTACAGCAGATGAAAGAATCTTGGGGCATACAATCAACAGGGATGAGGCACACAATGATACCCCACACAATCTCATATTACTTAACTACTGTACCTGAGCATGCGTTTCAAGTGTTAAGCACCCTCTTCTACATTCAGCACAAATGTAAATGTCTGAAGCCCTAACTGTGGGTGTCACTATTCTTTCTCATTAGCTTGATACACAGTATGCTATACAGAGTTAGAGATTTCTGGGGACAAAATTTTATTTCCCAGCTATATGCTGCTAGACAAATTTCTTAACTTTTCTGAGCCTTAATTTCATAATATGCAAACACAGATATTATAATCTAAGCATTGTTTTGAGAATTAGAGAAAATGTGCATTAAAAACTACATCTATGGTGTTTGGCACAGAGCAGTCACACACGGATACTGCCTATTCTTCCTCCTTCTACTCTTTCATTCATTTAAAAAAAATTCCTAGTAAGCCTTTCCTTCTTAAAAGTAGAAAAACATTTCTACTTTTTTCTATTTTTCTACTTTTATCAGAAAATCCTGTTTTCTCTGAAAGCTTTAAACATAACAAAAACACTCCTCAAACAGCATTCTGATGAGGTTCCTAGCAGCTCAAAGATCAGGCACTACAATAGATTATGCTTTCCATCAACCCTTTCCTCCTTATCTGAAATGTTATTTTTCCTTTCCTTACAACATTAACACCTTTGAACATCCCATATCACATCATATTTTATTTTATTTATTTTTAAGACAGAGTCCTGCTCTGTCGACCAGGTTGGAGCGCAGTGATGCGATCTTGGCTCACTGCAACCTCTAACTCCCGGGTTCATGCAATTCTCCTGCCTCAGCCTCCTGAGAAGATGGGATTACAGGCACGTCCCACCACGCCCAGCAAATTTTTTTGTATTTTTATTAGAGGGGTTTTGTCACATTGGCCAGGCTGGTCTTGAAGTGCTGACCTCAGGTTATCCACCCACCTTGGCCTCCCAACCTATATCACAGTTATTATAATCTCACCGAAGCAAACAATAGATTGGTAAAGTATCCCTGAGATTCTGGGAGGAAGGTTATATTTGAGATCATTACCATGTTTTGAAATGGAAGAAACTAAAGATATAAGAAATTACAGACATGCTGTCTAGCCACTGAAAAACATGAGAAAGATTACTTCAACTGTCTCTCCAGAGTTTTTTCTACTAAGTCACACCTGTCTGTCATTAACAATTCACCTGAGACTAATTGGAATTTTAAAGCTAAAAATATGCTACAGTGGCAGCCATAAAAAAGGATGAGTTCATGTCCTTTGCAGAGAAATGGATGAAGCTGGAAACCATCACTCTCAGCAAACTAACACAGGAACAGAAAACCAAACACCACATGTTCTCACTCGTAAGTGGGAGTTGACCAATGAGAACATGTGGACACAGGGAGGGGAACATCACACACCCGGGCCTGTCAGAGGGTCAGGGGCTAGGGAAGGGAGAACATTAGGAGAAACACCTAACATAGATCACAGGTTGATGGGTTCAGCAAACCACCATGGCACGTGTATGTCTATATAACCTGCACGTTCTGCCCACGTATCCCAGAACTTAAAGCATAATAATAATATAAAAAAAAAACTTAAAAAAAAATATGCTACAGTGGAAAACCTATAAAGCAATGGAAAATCATGTACTGGCTGAGGGTAATGACAATTAAGTGTACTCCAAAAAACTACTATTACAATTTCCATGCCCAAGAGCTCCCCAAAAGCAGCTTAAAATAAGAATGGCATATGCTATACTAGATGTTTTACATATTTCACTAAGCTGCTATACTCTGAGTAAAATGACCTCAAACAGAAAAGCACTTGTAAAATACTCTTGACGGGTCAAATAAATGACTCAAGAAGTCAAACAGCGGGGAGAAAACTTCTATATCAAGTCACCTTTCAAGCCTACACTGACATAGTCACTAACATGCCTTACTGTGTGGTAGACATTAGTGGCATATCTGCTTAATCAGATTATCACATACAGCCATATTCCAACAAAAAAGATCTCTAAAAACAAAAACAGCTTTATATACCACCACTGAGCATGACCCAAATATAACAAGATTAGAGGGCACTGTTTGCCAAGGCAAGGGCAATTAAAAAGTGACACAGTCCCTTCTCTGCGAAATGGAGTATTCTACCAACCTTACTACTACTAATTCTCAAATTGTTCCATTTATAATATCTAAACCTTACAAAATCCCTTTCTCTAACTACAAACTACTTACCTTCTACCTCTCCCACTCTCACCTTCCACAGGAATGCGCTTTTGTTGTCACAATTGCCTCCAGGTACTAACCTTTCAATCTCCCAATTCACGCCCCTGGGGACTTCTGTTGCTTCCTCATCCCTCTAGATGCTAAAGATCAGTCATTGCAATTATTTTTCCACTGACTTCCATGAATATCTGTTGCTACTGACACTCTTCCAAACTCATTTCACCTCCAGGTCTGGCTAAGTCCCATCATCCATTCATTTAGCAAGTATGTATGTGCCAGGCACTATTTAAGGTGCTGGTGACGCAAACCAAAATCCTTGTTCTGTTGAACAAGAGGGACAACAGCAATCAAGATGAATAAGTAAAACACCCAGAAGATAGCAAATGCTATGGAGATTAAAGCAGGATTGAAGGTTGCGATTTTAAATGTGGTGAATCAAAGGAGGCCTCATTAATGTGACATTTCAGAAAATACATTTCCTGCTCTGTGTTACCACTGTATAAAACCTTTACTGGGTCCACCAGTAAAATCTGGCAAAACTCTATGCATAAGAATGTTTACTGCAACTTTTGGCATAACTTCATTAAAAACTGGAAGCAACCTAACCAGTCAGTTACTGGAGCACTAATTGGTAAATTGAAGAAGAGATCTATAGACTATTATGTAGCCATTAAAAATAACTGAAATAACCAGTCAGTTACTGCAGCCCTAATTGGTAAATTAAAGAACAGATCTATAGGCTATTACGTAGCCATTAAAAATAACTGAAATAAAAAAAAAATAACATTGAAATCTACAAAGTTCTGTGAAATAAGCAAAATAAAAAGTAAAAAAAATGTACATAAGTCTAGGCCATAAAATGCACAAATATAAAAAGTATCAGGGTGGTTGAGATATACATTTTACTAATGTTTTTAATAATTGCTTCAAAAGTCCCATTCAGCCAGGCCTCATTGCTGCTCAGTAATCCTTTTAGTCACCTGTATACTAATCTTCCCCCGCTGGGATTATTTAAAGTTTATATAATTTCCTCTAATGCCAAACATTAACTTTGCCTACTTCATTCTCAAAAGACCTTTTCTCCTTTCTTAGTGATAAGCCTGAGACCATCTAATGTAAGCCAAAACAACCATCATTACAAAAAAAAAAAAAAACAAACCACACACACAATGCATTTCCCCATCCTCTCCAACTTCAGGATACCCCTTCCAGACAAAAGTTTTGCTCTGTTTCCTCCTGCCCTCCTTGGGTCCCTGCTTCAGTAAATCATCCCCTGGCTGCCTACGGTTTTCCACCCACTTCTGGACTAGTTCCTTCCCAACTCCAGCAGCAGCAATGCTTATTCAACCCTGTCCATCAGTTCTCACCCAAGGAATATGGCCCCCAGGGAACATTTGACAATATCTGGAGACATCTTTGGTTGTCACAACTCAGTAGTAGGAGGGGGTCCTACAATGCACAGGACTGCTCCCTACAACAAAGAATTATCAGGTCCAAACTCAGTAGTGCTGGAGTCGATGAACCCTGCTGAACCCAATGAACCATGTTCTGTCTTCCTCTTCCTCTTTCCTTCAAAGGAGGTAGACCTCCTTTCCAGTCATTTCAACATTTTAAGGCTTTGTGATCTGGTTCCTACTCATTTTGGTTTTTGTTTTTTGAGATGGAGTCTCATTCTGTCATCCAGGCTGAAGTGTAATGGTGTGATCCTGGCTCACCACAACCTCTGTCTCCCGGGTTCAAGAGATTCTCCTGCCTCAGCCTCCCGAGTAGCTGGGATTACAGGGCATGCACCACCACACTTGGCTAATGTTTGTATTTTTAGTAGAGACGGGGTTTCGCCATGTTGGCCAGGCTGGTCTTGAACTCCTGACCTCAGGTGATCCATCCTCCTCTACCTCCTAAAGTTCTGGAATTACAGGCATCAGCCACCACACCCGG